GCTCGTCTCGTGCACATCGCTGTTCGATTGCGCGTTTTCTGCCTTCGCGCAGGCGGTACGCAACCTCCCCGCGAGCCTGCTCGTCTTGTAAAGCCTCGTTCGCCCTGTCTACACGACGGACCTTCCACTGCAAACGCCGCCGAGGGATCTGGGTTTCGATTCTACAACCGATTCGGCGATCAGATAAGAATAAGCGACGCAGAAAAAGGGTGGACGGGATCTGCAGGATACCAGGTGTGACGCGAGCTCGCTTAATTCGCCCCTCTCCCTCCTCCCCTCCATCATCCTCTCCAGTCTCCTCCTTTCCTTCCTCCTTTTCCCCACGGTTTCGCTTCTCCCACTGGCCTTGACGAATCCTCCTCCCCTTCCTCCTCCTCCCTTCTTCCCCCGTTGGGCCCGCCCTTTGATGCGCCCAGGCCCTTGTACAGGAGCCTTGATCTAACACTTCATACAGTGTGATCTTCACCACCACCACCTCCTCCATCTTCCGCCTCCTCTGTCTCCCTTTCTTCCCCCCCCTCCCTCTTCCTCCCCCCTCCGATCTATCAGCCTACTTCCTTCCCCCTTCCCTTTCCACCCTCCTCCTTTGAATACCCCCTTCCTCGCCCCCCCTCCTCCCTAGTATTCTCCTCATCCTCCCTCTCCCCCCCCCTCCCCGAGGCTTGGGTGCTGTCCTCTGTGTTGGAGAGCATCGACATCGATGCTTATGTAGAGAAGGAGGGCACTGAACCAGCTCCAGGAGCCCCCCCGTCCCCAGCCAGATCTGAGACAGTAGGAGGGGAGGAGAATGAGGAGGAGAAGGATGAGGATGAGGATGAGGATGAGGATGAGGAGGAGGAGGAGGAGGAGGAGGAGAGTGATTTGTTTCAATCTCTCTCATTTCTTCCTATCCTACTCCCCTGCTGTCTCCTCCATGCTCCCTCCTTCCTCCCACCTCCCACTTCTCCATCCCCCCTTCCCCTCCTCCGCCATCCGACCTCCGGCCTCATCCCTCGGGTCTCGTTCCCCCCCTTCCCTCCTCCCTCTTCCTTCCTCCCTGCATGACTTACTGCGTCTCTCCTCCTTGCTCCCTCTCTTACCCTCATTCCTCCCTCCTTCCCCCTCCCTCCCTCGTTCCGTTTCCTCTGTCCGTCTCTTCTTACCTCCCTCCCTCCCTCCTTCCCTCCCCTCCCTCCCTCTCTACCTCCCTCCCTCCCTCTTCTCTATCCTCCCCCCTCTTTGGCGGGAGGTTCGACGGTTTTTTTTTTGGGGGGGGTTCTCTCTCTCTCTCTCTCACTCTCTCTCCGTGCACGTCGTGCTTAGCAACACGTCCAACAACGTCCTCCCTCCTCCCTCCCCCTTCCCCCCTCCTTCCTCTCTTCTTCATGCCTCTTCCGTTTCCCCTCCGTCATTCCGTTTCTCCCTCTTTCATCCTCCTTGCTTCTTCCAGCGCCAGCTCAAGCCAGCTCCTCCCTTGTGCTTGGGCGCCAGCGGCCGATCGCGCCGCTTCGGCCCCCTCCTCCTCCTCCTCCTCCTCCTTCTCCTCCCTCTCCTCCTCTTCCTCCTCCTCCTCCTCCTCCTCCTCCTCCTCATTCGGCCTCCTTCCCCTTCTTCCCATTCTTCCGAAACATCAGGCCCGCAGCGAGGCACCGAATGAAACGGGGGAGGAGGAGGAGGAGGTGGGGGAGGAAGGGGAGGAGGAGGATGAGGAGGGGGAGGAGGAGGGGGAGGAGGAGGAGGAGGAAGAAGAGGAGATTGAGGAGGACGAGGAGGACCAGAGTAAACCAACGAGTCATCAACGATGATGTTGGAATTAACCCTCCCTCCAAGCTCCCTCTTCATAGGCCCCTACAACGGTTCATTCCCAGTAAGGGAGCTGCCTCGTTGGAAGACACCCTTGAAGACCCAGAAGCATGCCAAAACATTGTCTTCGGGATTTCAACGCAACGGATCAACCTGACTGCTGCGTCTTGAGGATCTGGAACCGTGCCAGAACGCCATTAGTGGGACTTCAACACCGCGAATCAATATCACTGTAGCACCCGTATAATCCAGACTCCATCCAAAACACAATTTCTGGTACGTTGATCACGGGAATCCGTGGAACTCTTCCACATTTCATGAACGAATGAACGCGGTGCTAAGGCGAGAGCCACATTTTGAAAAGGAGCTGCCCTCAATCCTTGAAATTCTTGCAAATTAAAAAAACAAATGTGCGTGGCGCTTAGGCGAGAGCCACATTTTCAAAACGACCCGCCCTCAATCCGTGAAACTGTTGGCAGTTTTAAGCTTCAGAGTCATAAGTGATGATGAAGTCTCAGGCGAAACGCCCGGACCGCCCTAAAAACTGGCTTCGGGGTGCGACAGAGAGACGTTAGTTATAAGGAAAAGGAATGGAGGAGGAGGAGGAGGAGGAGGAGGAGGAGGAGGAGGAGGAGGAGGAGGAGGAGGAGGAGGAGGAGGAGGAGGAGGAGGAGGAGGAGGAGAGGAGGAGTCAAAGTAGCCAGGTGGAACGAGCCAGCGGGCCTCGCCCATATGCCCACCTTGCCTCCCGTACCATAACAATCCCTGGTTGCACAATCCTCCACTGAGATCGGAACGCGTTCCCACCTAGCACATAGCAAACGGTGGACTTCTCCTCCTCCTCCTCCTCCTCCTCCTCCTCCTCCCGCCCGCGCGCGGTCGCGCTTCCGACGACCTTGCGAAAGGGCAGCCACGCGGGCTTTGCAGAGGCGGGAGCGGAACGTCAGGAAGTCCTTGCGCGTCGCGCTGCGGCCGGGATCACACCTCAGGCCTCCCTCGGGCGCTCGGCCGGCTAATTTGCCGAGGAGCGGGGCGAAGGCGAGGCCTGCGCCGCGCCAGAGCAGCCCTGCCGCTTCCGCGCGCGAGCTGCGCGGCGCTCGGGGCGAGGGCAGCGTGTCAGCCGCTCTCGCGCGGCTCTGCATGCCACTGCTGGCACCATGCGATTCTTGCGGGAGGAGAATTCCCCCCCCGACCCCTGACACCTGGCGTTCATCGAGCGGCCGCGGGCGTCTACTGCAGTGCAGTTTTTGATACATGCTCCGCGTGCGAATCATGTGTTGAAAATGCAGGGATTTAGTATTAAAAACATACATATATTCCTGAAGTAATCATGCATTAAAAGTCCGATCTTAAAAAAACACCATGTATTTAAAAAACTGCCCTGTACTAGACAGCCCTGCCCTGTCTGATTCCTTCCCTGGGCGCGCTTACCAAACAGACGGCTTGGGGGTGCTGAGGCTGGCGCGCCTCTGGCCCTGCCCCCTCTCCGCGTCCTCTCTCTCTCTCTCTCCCTTCGGCGCTGGCGAGTTGGGAGGATCAGGAGGAGGAGGAGGAGGAGAAGGAGGAGGAGGAGGAGGAGGAGGAGGAGGAGGAGGAGGAGGAGGAGGAGGAGAAGGTTGGGGGCGGATTTTCTGCCCTCGGGATGCCTGCGAGCGGCGTGCGCCGCGCCCTCGCGGGGGAGCGCCGCTGCCACGAGAGCACGTGCACGGAGCTCGGGGCGAGGGCGAGGGGCTGCCGCGCAGCCTGCGCGGTGGGGGACAGCCTGCCCGCTCGCGCTCGGCCCTGCCCCCAACAACTCGGCGAGGGAGACGGATTCGCCGCGCCGGGGCGGGAGCGGCACCGCCGGCGATAGCCGCGCAGCGCCGAGGCGAGAGCGACGTTTCCGGCCGCTCGCGCGTCGACGAACGGGTGTGCGGAAGATGTGCGCAGCGGCCAGACGGGAGAATTCATCCTCAGGGCGCATGGGCGCGGCGCCCAGGCCAGAGGGACGTTTCACGTTTTCGCTCGCGACGTGCGCCGCATCCCATTCCGTGTCACGCATTGCGCGACGTCGACGACCGCACGTCCACGTTGACAGGAAGTCATTGGTGCTGTTTCTTTGCGGATAGGATGGGTCGCCCTTCATGGCTTCGCAATCGGCCGGAAAGGTGGCAAAATGAAAGTATATACGAATACGGAATAAGCAGAGGAGGGGCATGATGCTGACGACGATGATGGTGATGATGATGTTGATGATGATAATGATGATGATGCTGATGATGATTAATATGAAGATGACGATGAAGATGAAGATGAAGATGAAGATGATGATGATGATGATGATGATGATGATGATGATGATGATGATGACGAGGACGATGACGATGACGATGATGATGATGACGATGATGATGATGATGACGATGAGGATGCTGATGATGATGATGACGATGAGGATGATGATGATGATGATGATGAGGATGCTGATGATGATGATGATGATGATGATGATGATGATGATGATGATGATGATGATGATGATGATGATGATGATGATGATGATGATGATGATGATGATGATGATGATGATGATGATGATGATGATGCTGATGATGATGATGATGATGATGATGATGATGATGATGATGATGATGGTGGTGGTGGTGGTGGTGGTGGTGGTGGTGGTGGTGGTGATGATGATGATGATGATGATGATGATGTGATGATGATGACGAGGACGACGACGACGACGACGAGACGACGACGACGACGACGACGACGACGACGACGACGACGACGACGCGACGACGACGATGATGATGATGATGATGATGATGATGATGATGGTGATGGTGGTGGTGGTGGTGGTGGTGATGGTGGTGATGATGATGATGATGATGATGATGATGATGATGATGGGTGGTGGTGGTGGTGGTGGTGGTGGTGTGGTTGATGATGATGATGATGATGATGATGATGATGATGAGGGAGGAGGAGGGAGGAGGAGGAGGAGGAGGAGGAGGATTATGATGATGAGGATGCTGCTGCTGCTGCTGATGATGATGATGAGGAGGAGGAGGAGGAGGAGGAGGAGGAGGAGGAGGAGGAGGAGGAGGAGGAGGAGGAGCAGTTGGGCGCCTGCTCCGCCTGCCGTGGAGACGCTGGGCGCCGACTGCCCCGCGTCTCTGCCAGCCGCCAGGCTCAGGGCCGAGGAGACCTGAGCACGCGCCCCCGCAGCGATGAGCACCAAGGTTGCCCCACCCTCTGGGGGAAGCCAGTCCGGGCCAGCTGCCTCGCCAGACGTGCGCTCTGCGAGGCAGCAGAGGCCAGACTGGCCCGATGCGAAGCAGCAGCAGAGGCTGCCGCCAGCCTTCTCGATCAGGAGGCGGTGCTCGGTCAGCCACCCAGGTGGCCCTCTCAGGTGGGCCGCTGGAGCGCGTGCCACCGGCAAGCGCCTGCACTTTTAGGGCACTCACTTCAAGGCGCCAGACAGCGAACGGCCTGTATTGAGAAGGCCTTACGGCTGGTGCCGCCGACCCGGAAGACGGCGACGACGGCGACGACGACGAGGACGGGGAGGCAGAGGAGGGGGGGGGCATCGGGGGGCAGCAGGGGGAGGTAGGGGTAGGAGAGCCGAAACCGCCTGGGGGAAGCCAGTGGAGCGCGTGCCACTGGCGAGTCTTTGAAACTTTCGGACATTTCAAGGCGCCAGGCAGCGAGCGGCCTGTATATTCTTGGGCTTGCGCCACACCGCTGACCCCTTGGGGAACTGGCGGCTGTGGTGGGTTGCTCCTGAGAGTCTCTTCGGCGCCTTCGGGGGGCTTTTTGGTGCCCCTTTGGGCGTCTCAAAGGGGCCTATGAGGGGCCTCTTGGAACTTCGTGGAGGGTTCTCACGGGTCTCGGGGGGGCGAGGGCTCGAAATGCAGGCTCGGGTTTCCCTTCCGGGTCCGTGGCCCTCCTTGCGGCGGTCTACGGGCTCTTTGGGCCATGTTGGAGGCCTCTGAGGTCGTCTTTGGGGCCGTGTGGGCGCTCTCTTTGCCTGTTATTGGCGCTCTTGGATGCCTCTGGGGCCGTCTGGGGCTGATCTTAGGAGCCTCTTAGGCCGTCGTGGAGCGTCGGGAAACCGTAAAGGCGAGCAAGCTATCAACAAAAAAACCGGATGGAAAATCAGTGAATGTTGGCCCGTGGGGCCTTCTCAGGAGGGTTCTTGGAGGCGTTTTGGGGCGTGTTGGGGGGCGTCTTGGGCCGTCTGGAGGCTACTTGCCCGTCCTGGAGGAGCCGTCGCCGACTGGGGGTCCTCTTGGACAGTCTTGGTGGGGCCTCTATCCTCCCACGATGCGGTGGGGCCTGGCCCGGGGGATCCGGGCGGACCCCCCTCCCTCCAAGTCGACCGGACTGGGGTCGGGGTGGAGGGGTCGGGGGAGGGGTAAGCGGGTAAGCATCTCACACGCTGAGGCCACCCCAAGGGGTCGGGGGATGCTGCCGCCACGTGCGCATGGCAGCGTGTTTTTTTGCTGGGAGGCATGGTGGGCCTGCACACACGGGGTAATCTGATGCCCCCTGCCGTCGTGTGACAGACCAATGCACAGTGAGGGCGGGGCGCCCGAATCTGATCCAGGTTATGTCGCAAAGTGCGCTTCGTCTTGTCATCATTGTGATGACCGAGGTGGTCGGGGGGGTTGTCGTTGCTTCGGGTCGGCCGTCGGTCGAGGGGGCGGGTGGCTATGAATACGGAGCAGGGGTAGAATCAGGGGTTCGGATGAGAGGCTTCCCTGACCCACCGACGCCCAGAGGGCTGGTGGGATGCTTCTTGCGGGCGTAGTTCTTGCATTCGTGTGGGCCGCGAGAGGGCCTTCGTCGCAGGAGCCACGCTCGTCTCGAAAGCCTGGTCGGGATGATGTCTACGAGGAGCTCGTCGGGTGGGTGGTTGACGGGGAGACAGGAGGTGGGAAGGACCCGATGGGTCGAGGGTGGAGCGCCCGTGGACTAGCGTTCAGGCCATGCCGATTCGATTGGGAACGGTACCTCCTCTTGGAAGTGCACGTACAGTGCCGTTTTTAATGTATGTTCCACGTGCGGATCATGTATTAAACAATGCAGGGATTTGGTATTAAAAACAAAGCTGAGTTCATGCGTGAATGTTTTCAGACATTAATCATGCATTCAATATTCGATATTTTTAAATCCTGCGTATTAAAAGCTGCCCTGTAGGAAGGCAAGAAGTCATGCCTCTGACGCAACGCTGGTCGACTCCCGGGCCGTCCTGGGCGGGTCGGGTGCCGCCGTCGATGCCGCCGACGGCGGGCAGGCGTCGGAATATACCAGAAGAGGATGACAACCGAACTGGCCGTCGGCACGCCCCGCCACCGAGCCTGGGCTGCGGGCCTGGGGCCACGCGGATGTCGGGGGCGGAAAAGAGCGGGGTGATGACTAGGGGGGGGGGGTGGATATCATGGCGGGGGCCATGATATCTCCCCAGATTTCATGGCGCCTCTTCTTATTTCGTTACGTCCCCCCCCCCCCCGCTAGGCCGCGCACATGCCGCCGGTCATGATTTGCACCCCCCCCTCTTGGACACCCCCCTCTTGGCCGCTCCCGAGCGGATGGCAGACGGGGCTTCGTGGGCGGCGTCTCCGAGGGCGTGCGGGCCACCGGTTTGCTTGGAAGCGCTGGGAGGCCTCCGGGAGGCCCTTTGGGGAGCCTCTCCTTGGGTCCTCTCGGAGCTCCCTGAAGAACACGCAGACATAGTGAATCGTCGATTCCCTAGAAAATAGGGGGAAATATGGGAAGTGGGGGGGAAGACGAAAATCAACAAAATATATAGGAAAATATGGGGAATCCTTGGATCTGTGTGCATATTCATTTGTGTGTCCCTGGGCCCCTTCAGTATTGGGGGCTTCTAGGGGCAGCCAGGGGGGCGGTTTTGGCCCGAAGGATGGGAATGTTTGTTCGGCCTCCCCCTCTGGGCCCCCTCTTGGGGCTGTCCTCGAGCCCCCGTGGGCCGTCTTGGGGGCTTCTTCAGCGGCCTTGGGGTCCTCTTCTGCCGTTTGGGAGCCCTTCTTGTGGGGCTCCACTGGGCCGTCTCGGGGCGATCCAGGGGCCTTCTTGGGCTGTCTTGGGAGTTGTGAACGTACAGACGACGAATGTGCTACGTGTGTACGTTTTCCCGTTTTGAGTGGGGCGGCTGTTGTTCTTTGGCCGTCTTGGGACGCCTCTGGAGGGCTTCTTGGGGCGTGTTGGGGGCCGCTTGGCCCGTCTGGAGGCCAGCGTGGGCGTTTTCGATCAATCTTTCGGCGGCTCGTGGCCCTCTTGGACCGTCCTGAGGGCCTCTTGGTGCCCTCTTGGCCTGTTTTTTTAGCTAGTTAAGCGGTCTTGGGGCCTCTTGGGTCGTCTGAAAGCCCTCTTGGGAGCCTTTTGAGCCGTTTTCGGGCGACCCAGGAGGCTTCTTGGACGGTCTTGGGCGTTGTGATTGCAAAAGAGGCGAAGGTGCGAAAAAATGCAGGTCTTCCCATGGACATGGGCGGTTTTTGCTCTTCGAGGCAGTCTTGGGACGCCTCTTGTGGGCTTCTTGGAGTGTCTTGGAGGCCTCTTGGGCCGTCTCGAGGCCAGCGTGGGCGTTTTCGATCGATCTTTCGGCGGCTCGTGGCCCTCTTGGACTGTCTAGAGGGCCTCTTAGTGCCCTCTTGGCTTATTGTTTTGGCTTTTTGAGCGGTCTTGGGGCCTTCTTGGGTCGTCTGAGAGCCCTCGTGGGGGCCTCGTGGGCCGTCTTGGGGCGACCCAGGAGGCTTCTTGGGTTGTCTTGGACGTTGTGATCGCAGAAGACAGATGTGCAAAACATTCAGGTCTTCCATTGGACAACGGACGATTTTTGCTCTTTGAGGCAGTCTTGGGACGCCTCTGGAAGGCCTCTTGGGGCATCTTAGGGGGTCTCTCGGGCCGTCTGGAGGCTAGCGTGGGCGTTTTCGATCGATCTTTCGGCGGCTCGTGGCCCTCTTGCACCGTCTAGAGGGCCTCTTGGTGCCTTCTGGGCCTGTCCTGTTTTTTGGAGGCTTTTCCAAGCGGTCTTGGGGCCTTCTTGGGTCGTCTAAGAGCCCTCTTGGGGGGGCGACTCAGGAGGCCTCACGTTGTGATCGCAGAAGAGGCGCTTCTTGGGGCGTCTTAGGGGGCCTCTTGGGCCGTCTGGAGGCCAGGGTGGGCGTTTTCGATCGACCTTTTGGCGCCTCGTGGCTCTCTTGGACCGTCCAGAGGGCCTCTGGGCGCCCTCGTGGTCTGTTTTGGGGCCCTCTGTCTCCTCCTGGGGTGCGTTCCAGCGGTGCCTGGGGGACTGGATCCCCCCCCTTCTTCCAAATCAACCGGACCGGGCTCCCGGGGGAAGGGTTTGGGGAGGGGGAAACACCTCACACGCCGATGAACCCCAAGGGGCCTGCGGATTTCGGAAGCCTCTGCCTGCCCGACTCGGTCGCCAGGTGCGGCCGTGTGTCCGGTGAAGATGTGGAAGTGGTGGGCCGGACGCCGAACGGAGCGTTCTCCTGCCCCTTGGAGCTCCCCGTCTGGCTCAGTCGCACCAAATGTACCTGAGCCTCCTGGGCCAGAGCATTCGGGCCGCCTGCAGCGTGGACTAGATCTGCCTGGAACGCTCTTCCGACCACGGCTGCCAGCCGTGAAGGTGGGACAAGAAGGAGGATGAAAGGAGGAGGAAGGAGGAGGAGGAGGCGGAGGAGGAGGATAAGGGATGGTGAGGAGGAGGAGGAGGAGGACGAGGGGGGAGGAGGAAGGGGAAGAGGGAAGAGGGGAAAGGGACGATGAGAAGGAGGAGGAGGGGAGGAGGGGGAAGAGGGGGGATGCTGCTGCTTTTGCTGCTGCTTTTGCTGCTGCTGCTGATGACGACGATGATGATGCTGATGATGATGACGATGATGCTGATGATGATGATGATTATGATGCTGATGACGACGATGACGATGATGCTGATGATGATGACGATGATGCTGCTGATGATGATGATGAAGATGATGCTGATGCTGATGCTGATGCTGATGCTGATGCTGATGCTGATGATGATGATGATGATGATGATGATGATGATGATGATGATGATGATGATGATGATGATGATGATGATGATGATGATTATGACGTTGATGATGGGGGAGGAGGCGGAGGAGGAAGAGCAGGAGGAACATCATTCACCCCCTTCCGAGCTCGGTCGGCCGGAGGTCAGAGGCGGCTGCTGCCGCGGGCGTCCCTGCGGTTCGACCTGCTGGGAGGCCCCGCCTGCTTCGCGGGGGAAGGATAGGGGAGCGAAGGGGGGGAGGAAAGAGGCACGAGCCAGGTGGTATGATTTTTGAAGACGATTTGTGCACATGAATGTGCTTACGATGATGCCAACGACGAGGATGATGATGAGGATGATGGTGACGGTGGTCATGATGATGACTGCGAGGATGAGGATGACCGTGCTTATGAGTAATATTATGCGTACACGTATGATAATGCGATCTTGCTGTTACTGAGCAAGATCATGAGGCTATGGTAGGAACGAGTCTCATGATGATGATACGTTGCTGCAGGCGCATACGATGCACAGACTACTACGATGTCGACGAGGCTGTTTTTTTATGTTGATGTTGAGGTTGATGTTCTCCAGAGGCTTAGCTCGAACCCTACTAATTGGTCCGTTGCCCCCCTCCTTATGCTTTCCCCCTAATTCCTATGGCTATGCCTATGCCTCCCCCTAACTCCTATGCCTACGCCTATGCCTATGCCTATGCTTGCTTGCTTGCGTGCTTGAACGCTTGCTTGCTTGCTTGCTTGCTTGCGCGCTTGCTTGCACGCTTGCTTGCTTGCTGAGATGCGGATTCCAAGCATGCTTGATTCCTCTGATTCCTTGATTTGAGTCGTCTAATCTATTTGGAGTCAACGCTGGCTGATATTGGTGATGAGGATGATGGAGGATGAGAATTTGGATCATGCTGAGAACACTGATGATTATGATGCTGATGATGCTGATGATGATGATGATGCTGGGAGGGGTGGGGATGATCATGCTCATGATCATGATGATGCTGATGATGATGATGACGATGACGATGACGATGATGATGTTGCTACTGATGATGCTGATGATGATGACGACGATAACGATTCTGATACTGATGATGACGATGCAGATTATGATGCTGATGAGGATGATGATGGTGATGATGATTGCGTGATAATGATGATTATGCTGATGATGATAACGATGATGCTGATAATGATGATGCTGATACTGATGCTGATAATGATGATGATGACGATGATGACGGTGGTGGTGATGATGCTGCTGATGACGATGATGATGCTGATGTTGATTGTGAGTCTGATTATGATGATGATGATGATGATGATGATGATGACGATGATGATGATGATGATGATGATGATGCTGATGATGATGATGATGATGATGATGATGATGATGGTGGTGGTGGTGGTGGTGGTGGGGATGATGACGATGGTGGTGTTGAGGATGAGTATGATGATGATGAGTAGGATGTTGATGATGCTGATGATGGTGGTAATGGTGATGATTATAATGATGCTGATGCTGATGCTAATGCTGATGCTGATGATGACGATGACGACGATGATGATGATGATGATGATGATGATGATGATGATGATGATGATGATGATGATGATGATGATGATGATGATGATGATGGTGATGATGATGCTGATGATGATGCTGATGATTATGATTCTGATTATGGTGATGATGCTGATTGTAATGCTGATGCTGATGCTGCCTCTGATGATGTTGGTGATGATGATGATAATGAGGCTCATGAAAATAATCATGACGATGAGAAGGATGAGGAGGATAAGCTGTGTATGTCGCGTATGGGCTTGACACAAGGCAGGTGGGCTCACGTCTGACCTTGAGATGTGTCCCACACTCAGTCTTTGAACTTTGCAAAGACTCGCCTCTGTGCGTTCGAATGCAGTGTTGAGGGATGTGCCGACTTCTTCACCAGGAGTTGGACGCTTTCGCACGAAGTTGGAGAGCCATGCGCGTGTTGCCGATGCATCGTGGCAGGATGCCGCCCTCATGATCGCTGGAAGAGCTTAACCTCTTTCCCCCAACCTGCTCTTTCTCCCCCGCTCCTCCGATTCGTTCTCTCACTCTTTGCTCCCTCTTCCCTCCGCTCTCCTCCCTCCGCTCTCCTTCCTTCCTCCCTCCCCCCATACAGGCTGGACGAGAGAGGGAGGCCGGATGCGAGTAGGAGGTGGGGAGGAGGAGAAGGAGGATGAGGAGAAGAAGGAGGAGGAGGAGGAGAAGGAGGAGGGCGTGGAGGTGGAGGAGAACGATGGGGGGTGAAGAGGGATGAGGGACGAGGAGGAGTGGGAGGCCGATGAGGAGTGTGAAGAAAGGGGGGAAGGAGGAGGAGCACGAGGGCGGTGGGGGCTGGGCGTCCCAGGCACAAGGTATCCTTGGATGCTCCCAAGATGAGGATGACGGATAACAGAGGGATGACGGAGGAGGAAAGGAGGGCGAGGGGGGACGCCGAGGTGGAGGAGCCAATCTTTCGGACAGTCTTCTCTTTTACTGTCCTTTCCTCTCGTTGGAGCCCGGGGCATCAGAGCATGTGGCTGAGTTGGCTGTGCGCAGGCCCTCCTTCTCCTCCTCCTCCTCCTGCTCCTACTCTTTCACCTCGTCGTCGTTCGTTCCCTATATATGTCCTTCCTCGTCTTCGAGGGTAAAGACGAGTCGGTGAGCACGTGATGGTAGCTTTGAGTCGTTGCATGCTGTCGGGGAGCTTCGCCTCAGCGTGCGCACCCTCACCATCCTAATTTCTCATTAATCCCTTCTTTTCTCCTCCGCCTCCCCTCTCCCGCACCGTTCCTCTCTCCCTCCTCCTCCTCGCCCTCACTCTCCTCCTCCTCCTCCTCCTCCTCCTCCTCCTTCCCCTCCGCCTTCTCCTCCCCTTCTGCTCCTCCTCCTCCTCCTCCTCCTCCTCCTCCTCCTCCTCGGGAGGCTCGGTGGCGTCGACCGTGGCCGACCTCCTGGTCCGGCTCTTCGCGCTGGGGGAGGCGCAGCTGCAGGATGGGCTGCGGGAAGGGCCTCCTCCTCCTTCTGACGCTGACGCTGGTGGCGGTCTTCTAGGTCCCCCCCATCGGTGGGCCTGTTTTCCACCACCACCACAAGTTGGAGGGGGAGGGGGTTCCCTTCCTTCTCCTCCTCCTCCTCCTCCTCCTCCTCGTCCTCCACCTCCTTCCCCCCTCCAACTCATGGTGGTGCTGGTGGAAAACAGGCCCATCACCCCATGGGGGCGAAAATCATCGCGCTTCGCGCGTCGCGGCCTCGGCCAGAGAGCCGCCCTTCTCCGAGGCGGTCTCGTGACTGCGCGGAGATAACGGCGCGTGGCACATCGCGGGGCGGGATGTGCGAAGTTAGGAGGTGGCCAGGTCTTTGGATATTCCCGACGCCATCGAGCACCTCCCACGCAGCCTGTTGCCGAGGAGAGTGGGCCATAACTCTCGAGTGAAGACTTGGGGCCTCGTGGGGTATCTTTTGGGCTTGGGCGCGTCTTGGGCGCCTCTTAGGGCCTCTTGGGGCCTCCTGGCGGCCTCTTGGGGTCTCCAGGGGGATTCTCGGGGCACAAGTATATTGTCGAATTTTCGGTTCGTGGTCCCCTGCTTGGGCCTCTCTTGGGGCTGTCTTGGGGTCCTCTTGGGCCGTCTTGAGCGCCTCTTGGGCCATCTTGGAGCCCTCTTGGGCCGTTTTGGGGCCCTCTTGGAGGCCTCGGGCTGTCTTGGGGCGGTCTTGCGAGCTTCTGGAGCCGTCTTGGAGCGTAGGAAGCCGAAAATTGGAGAAGGCCAAAATCCTTCAAAAGCCTTTCTGTAACACCGACGATGTTGGCCTCTTGGGGCTCTCTAGGGAGGCCTCTTGGAGCGCTCTTGGGGCCGCTTGGGGTTCTCTTGGGCCGTCTGGGAACCATCTTCGGGCGCCTCGGAGCACTCTTGGCCTTGGCAATGCGAATATGGTTTAGTTTGCGAGGGTTTATGGCCTCGGGGACGCGAACATTGTGTAATTTAATGGGATTCTGGCCTCGGGGGCGTGAATTTTATGATTTTTACATGTCCCACGCCCCCCCCCCGAATTCCCCCCGAATTCAGAGCACGCGATCCGGGCGTGGTAACCAGGCGGTTTTGGGGCTCCCCCCCTTGCGCGGACTTGAACAATTGACAGTAGGAAGCAGAATGTGAAACTATCCCAGTGGGAATTGGAACCTGCAACTGGAGCAGGGAGCAGCAAGCCTAAGCTCGCAGCCTACTGGCCCCGCAGGGGGGCCAGCGGATTGATGGGGAGGCAATGGCATTCGAAGAAGAAAAGTCGCCATAAACATAAGCATAAACTTTTGGCGCTCCGCGCGGATTTCTTGGATCCACGCCGGGCCCGCCAGGCGACGCCTCCAGAGCCGCCCCTTGCGCGCTCCGCGCGCCAGGGGGGGGGTCCAGCGCGGATCCAAGAAATCCGCGCGGAGCGCCAAAAGATTTATGTCTATGGCGTTTTTCTTCTCCCTGGCATGTGGGAGGGTAAGCTGTGGGGGACGGTGGGAGGGTGGGAGGGAGCAGTGGAATGAGGGAGGGGGGACGAGGACTCCTGCAGAAGCAGGCGGGGCAGAAGGGCGAGGCGAGGGGATTCGTGCCCGTCGAGACCGGGGCTGGCGCCGGTGAGGCCGTCGTCGTAACCTGCCTGGGCTTCTTCTTGCGCGGGCAGCGCGCTTTCGTGAAGGACCGCAAGATAGGCGACATCTTCCGCAGCGCGCTGTCGTCGAGCAGCCTGGGCCTTTGCCACAAGGCGCGGCGTTCGGAGGAGGAGGAGGAAGAGGAGGAGGAGGAGGAGGAGGAGGAGGAGGAGGAGGAGGAGGAGGAGGAGGAGGAGGAGGAGGAGGAGGAGGAGGAGGAGTACGAGAAGGAGGAGAAACACGGCTAGGAGGAGTAGGAGGGGATGAGAACGAAGCTCAAAAATATCCAGTGGCCTTCAGCCCATCTCGCCATCGTGCCTGGGTCGTGGACAATATGCCTCTTGGGTCCTCTTAGGGGAGGAGGTCTCTTGAGAGCCTCTTGGAGGCTCCTTTGTGGGGCCTGTTGGGGACCTCTTGTGGGCCTCCTGGTGGAGAATACTAATTAAATGTAGAAGGGGTAGAACGCAAGGGAAGGAGGGATCGCGGTAGGCGTGAAGGCAGAGAGGCGCGATGAGAAGGGATAATAGGAGGAGGAGGAGGAGGAGGAGGAGGAGGAGAGGAGGAGGAGGAGGAGGAGGAGGAGGAGGAGGAGGAGGAGGAGGAGGAGGAGGAGGAGGAGGAGGAGGAGGAGGAGGAGGAGGGAGGAGGAGGAGGAGGAGGAGGAGGAGGAGGAGGAGGAGGAGGAGGAGGAGGAGGAGGAGGAGGAGGAGGAGGAGGAGGAGGAGGAGGAGGAGGAGGAGGAGGAGGAGGAGGAGGAGGAGGAGGAGGAGGGGGGGGGGAGGAGAGGAGGAGGAGGAGGAGGAGGAGGAGGAGGAGGAGGAGGAGGAGGAGGAGGAGGAGGAGGGGAGGAGGAGGAGGAGGAGGAGGAGGAGGAGGAGGAGGAGGAGGCGGAGGAGGAGGGGAGGAGGAGGCGGAGGAGGAGGAGGAGGAGGAGGAGGAGGAGGAGGAGGAGGAGGAGGAGGAGGAGGGAGGAGGCGGAGGAGGCGGAGGAGGAGGAGGAGGAGGAGGAGGAGGAGGAGGAGGAGGAGGAGGAGGAACACGATGAGGCAAGAGGAGTTAGGACTGAGAAGATGAAAGTAGGTGGGCGGAGAAAGAACCCGGAGCGATGAAGACTGATATGTATTACTAGGCAGACGACGGATGAGGAGGGAGGGAGGGAGGGAGGGAGGGAGGGAGGCAGGAGGAGGAGGAGAAGGAGGAGGATGAGGAGGAGGATGAGGAGGACGAAAAGGAGGAGAAGGAGGGGGGGAGGAGGAGGGAGGATATCCTCCCTTCTCCCTCCTAGAGCAGGTGCTCGAGGCCCTGGGGTCGCTGCTCTCGCACTTCGGCAGCGAAGCGGAGAAGGAGACGGCGGTGAGCGCCAAGGACCTGGCCGCTGACGACGCCAAAAAAACGCTCGAAGGAGGGGGGGATTCATGATGCAGGATCGAGTGCCCAGGATTCAGGAGGGGGGCACGTGAGCAGCAGCATGCAAGGAGCAGATTGCACCGTCTGGCTGCAGCCTGGTCCTTTTTAAACTCCCAGCGGGCGGCCTGCTGCTGCCGCTGCTGTGAAACCGGGACAGGCCCTCATCTTCGGAGCTCTCGGTTTGACTCGTCTCACAATCAGTTGGGGAGGCTCCACGGTACAGGATTTCCCCCCCCCCCCCGACCATGTTGTGGTATTGGGTCTTCGTTTGAAGAGACAGCGCCCACTCGTCCTCTCCTCTCCTCCTCCCCCTCCTTCCTCCCTCCCTCCCTCCCTCCCTCCCTCCCTCCCATCCCAGTGGCGCCGTCCGCATGGGTCTGCGCCGCCCATGCTGGCGCACCCCTCGGACGCTTCTTCGCCCCACGGGGAGCTCCACCGAAGGCCCCCGTGGCTGTGGCCGCACGCGTCTCCGCCGCCCACTCGGGCACACCCCTTCACGCGTTTCGTGGCCTCACAGGGAGCTCCACGTGAGACTCCACTGGCTGCGGCCGCGTGCGTCCCCGCCACCCGCTTCGGCACACCCTTCACACGTTTCGTGGCCCCTCGTGGGGGCTCCACCCAAGGCCCCAGTGGCTGCGGCCTCGTGCGCCCCCGCCACCCGTTTCGGCAGACGCACGTTTCGTGGCCGCATGCGGAGCTCCACCGAAGGCGACACTCACAGCGACGGCACTCACGACTGCATATGGTTGGGCCCTTCGCCAGGCCAATTTTCAAGCTCTCCTGTGCTGGGTACTCGTTTTGGGTAGATTGCTCGCTCGTCCAACCCCACGCCGTGCAGCCTCACGCCACACCTGCGCTGTACCAGCAGTGGAAGTGGGGTGGATTCGGCACGGGGGGCTACATTCAGTGGCCGTCACCATCGAGGTGGCTCCAACTTCCCCAAGCCGCTTGGAAACCTTGGTGCTATCCCCAGCCTCTTCCTGGGAGCCCCTCTGCCCCCTGTGGTGGGTGAGTGTACGGTCCCATGTGGTGGGGCTGGGGGTCGTTGCCGCGGGGTTTCTCACAGGCTGGGGAGAGGCCCTTGCGCCGTCTAACTGGGCGAGTGGCTGACTGTCGCGGGCCGCAATTGCGCACCTCTGCCACCAGCCGTCACCTGTCGCCCCCCATTTCTCGTCTCCTTCCTCCTTCAGGTTAGTCGCCTTCCTCTTCGTCCCCCTCTCCTTCTCCTCCCCCTCCCCAGGGCGCTCTTGGACCTATCCACCCCGCCCCTGGGGAGGCCTGTCGGTTCGCTTTCCCCTTTTTTCTATTTGCAGCTGCTTTGCTTATTCCCCCCCGGGTCGACCGACCATGGGGGGGGCCGGGCATGGCTGCGTCGGATTGACATTCTAGCTAACAGCTCTCAGCTTCGAGGACGAGGAGGAGGAGGAGGAGGAGGAGGAGGAGGAGGAGGAGGAGGAGGAGCAGGATGAGTAGGAGGAGGAGGAGGAGGAGGCGGAGGAGGGCGAGGAGGCGGAGGAGGTGGAGGAGGAGGCGGAGGAGGAGGATGAGCGGCTGCGGAGGAGCGGCGGAGGAGGAGGAGGAGGCGGAGGAGGTGGAGGAGAAGGAGGAGGCGGAGGAGGAGGCGGAGGAGGAGGCGGAGGAGGAGGAGGAGGAGGAGGAGGAGAAGGAGGAGGAGGAACCAGAAGCAGCAGATGATGAAGAGGAGGGGGGGAAGGAGACCGCGGAGGGGGACGAGGAGGAGGAGGAGGAGGACGAAGAGGAGGAGGATGAGGAGGAGGTGCAGGCGCAGGCGGAGAAGGACCTTTTTCGGTCAGGGGAGGCGCCGGGGCGAAGAAGAGCGCCGTGGAGTCGGCACAGCCCCTCGCGGCCTACAGCGACGCCGTGCTGGCACATGTCGCGCTCGCTGGTCCCTGGGGGGGTGGCCTTCGGTCCGTTCTCATCGTTCCCTCCCTCTCTCTACCTTTCTCAGCTTCCTCCTTTACCCTTCTCGCAGGAGCGACACAATTATGTATGCGTACACACACACTCAAAACGTTCTGAGAGAACAAGCGGGAGAGAGAGAGAGAGAGAGCGAGAGAGAGAGAGAGAGATAGTGCATTGCGCAAGCGTTCGTGACACAGAGGTGGCCTCGTGAACTGGGGGGGGGCATATTCATGTGCGTGGCTGGGCACCTTCGTCCTGTGCGGGTTTCGTGGCCCCCCCTCCCTCGTCTTCGTCGTCGTCTTCGTCGTCGTCGTCGTCGTCGTCGTCGTCGTCCTCGTCCCCTGTCACCTTCCTCTCATCCCCCTCGTCACTCTCTCCCTCCCGCTCCCTGTCTTTCTCGTCCTCCTCGCCTGCCTGCGTCCTCCCCCCGCCGCCGTCGTCGCGCCGCCCTCCCGCTCCCTTCCAGCGCGCGCGCGCGCCCGCGCGCTCTCCCCCTCCCGCGCTGCCGCTCTCGAAGGGGGCGCGTGGAGGGGGCGCGTGGTGGGGTGGGGGTGGGGGAGGGGTCCTCATCCTCCCCCTCTTCCTCCTTACCGCTCGTGGTCGGCGCCTTTTTCCGTCTGGCAGCTTGTCCTGCGGCGGCCTTACCGCCTTGCTGCTTGCGCCTCGGCATGGGGTGCGGGCTGGCATAACCGCGGCCTGTTTAATTTTGGCTTCCGGCATCGCATCTGGGGTGCGCGTCCGCACCTGGGTTGCAGTTCGTACCCGCTGTGGGCTTTAGCTGTATGTCAGCTTGCTTGCCCGCATCTGTGCGTTTGCGTAGCCCGTTGGCGGGTTAATTTTGCTCGTCTTTCTTTTCAATTTGTCACCTTGAGTCGGAGTGGTGCGACCTTTGAGGCGACGCGTACAGTCTCTATTGAGCCTAGGTGGTTGTCCATCTTTATGCCTTGCTTCCACCTACTCCTGGTATTTCTTCGCGGCTTGAATTTGCGTTGAGGTTGCTGTTTTAACGCTGGCGCCTGCATTGCATGCTGGCTGTGCTCGCGCCTGTCCACCACCGATGGCCATGCTCGCGGCTATCCACCACCCATGTGCGCCGCCGCGTGATGCGGTTGCTGCTCGCGATCGCCCGCGTTCAGTTTAATTTTTGTTGTCCATAGCTAAGTCAGCCTCGGCCGCGTGATCATCTTTGTCACGCCGACTTCTTGCATTCTGCTGCACTGTCGCTTGTGTGTTCGTGCCCGTTGCAAGGCCGGTGGCGTCGCTTCGTTGTGCAGCTCCTGCGTGTATGCGCCGCCACCAAGTAGGCGGGTCTGGCAGCCTTGCAGTTCTTCTTCATCGCCTCTTGAGGCTGTAGGTCGCACCAGACTGCTGGTTGCGCTTCAAACATCCTGCGTTGAGCTTTCGCTCCGTGGGTTCTTTGGCCGCTGCGTTCTGGCTTCGCAGCGCCTCTCCTTTCCACTCTGCGTGGCCGTGGCTGGATTCTCTCATCGTGGCGCGTTCGACGAAGTTCGCTCGCGCTTGGCACCTCCACCTGCCGACCGCGCCTGGGGCTCCTTCTGCGCCGCCGACTTGAAGCAACAAGCGCGCGTGTCCTCTGCATCGCCTTCTGTGGCGTCGTCCTGTTCGTTCCTTCCCGTGCGCCCCGCCGCGCGCCGGGGCCCGCGCTGCTCGTCCGCCGCAGCTCGCTCCGCTCGCCGACCGCCGCGGTGCGCCAGTGCGTCCCGCCTGAGCCTGGTGCCCGCCCCGTCCTGCGGATCCTTGCGGTCTCGCCCCCCCCCCCCCCGTTTGTCAGCCGCGCGCTGAAAGGGGGTGGGGGGGTGGGGGGCGGGCTTCCGGGAAGCACCCCTGCCTCTCAGACGGCGCGGGCCTTCTCTGTAGATGCCAGGCCGCCGCCTTCAAGAAGCAGCCTCCTGCTAAGAAGCCTCCCCCCCCGTCCCTGCGCCCCCTTGTGCGCGCCGCCAACTCTGGTCGTTTCTCTTTCCCCTCCTCCTCTCTTTCCCTCTCGCGTTTGCCCCGTCGCGAGTCATGCCTCGTGATGCCCCATGGGCTGACCCAACATGTCCCCGATTCCTGAGCTTGGCCGGCCCGCGCTCTCTGCTCGCCTCGGGGCTTCGACTCCGCTGCGCCGCCGCGCGCGTGGCCGCGACGCCAAAACATGTGTCTGTGTGTGGCTGGTGTCTTGCCGATCCTCTGGAGGCCTGCATCTTTGCCGCCAGCTCGTCATGCGGAGCCATCTTGTGATCATCGTGGGACCACCTCGGCGCTTGCTTGGGGCTTCATTGTGCCATCGAGGAGCTGCTTCGCTGTATCTTGGGGCCTCCCAGGGCCACCCTGAGTGATCCTGGGCAATATCGACAATATATCTAGGAAAATTTGGCGTGCTCCTATTGCAGACCATCGCGCGATCGCTGGCGGAGCGGCGGCTTCAATTGTGACGGTGGAAGTTGCCGTGGTCGTGGTGATGAGGAGGCGGGGGGTGTTTGGCTGAGGAGGAGCAGGAACGTCTTTGCTGAAACAGGATTGACCAGCAAAACGCATTCCAGCAAAGAGTCGAGCGATCGCGGAGCAAGGGGGAGCACCTGTGGTGTGCCCTCCCTGTGCCAGGACAGGACGGTGGCCGAGGTGGGTTCGGAATTTGTTGGAGGATGAGGTGGCTTTCGGTGGGGCTTTTAACTGGTCCCAAGAGGAGGAGGATTAGGAGCCGTAGCCATTTTTTGGCTCAAACCACTCTGGCTGAAGCCGCTGTGGATCGAGCCGCCTTCGGCTCTCGGGCGAGGCCCTGACTCCGACATGGCCGCTGCCGGAGCGACGGGCGGACACCGCGGCCTCCAGACCACCCCGCCGCGCGAGGCGTGGGGCCCAAGGGACGCGGCGCGCACGGAGGAGCCGGCCCGGCCGCCGGCGCCGCCGCGGGAGCTCGAGGCCGAGGTCGACGAGCTGCTCGCCAGGCACCACTGGGAGCTCAGGCGCGGGCTCGCGGCTCTCGTCGCCAGGGCCCCGGCGGAGCAGCAGCCGCCCGGGGGAGGCGCGGGGTGCGGCGGCCCGGCGGTGGCCGGCCGCGTCTGCGAGAGGCCCGAGAGGCCTGCGGCGCCAGGCGGCGCCCTGCAGGCCACGTCTCCGGCGTCGGCGCCCACGCCCAGGAGGCTCTCCGCCGGGCCCCGGGGTTGGGACGACGACGGCGACGAGTCGGACGCGGACGACATCCTCGACAGCACGCTCCAGATGCCGAGCAGTCCCCACTCCAGATCGAAGGTCGCCAAGGTGGTCGGGCTGGGATCGGGCAAGACGCAGCTGCGAGCGTCTGCGTCCCTGTCGCTGAAGGCGCAGCGCGGCAAGGACTTGCAGTCGAGAATGTTGCGACTAGTTTCTCATCCAGTGTACGAGGTGGCCAATGCTGCCGTTATCATTTTCAACGCCCTCGTCATCGCGTGGGAGACAGAGCACTCGGCGCAGCAGGTGCCAAGAAGCGATCAGCCTGTCCACTTCGATGTGTTCATGTTTACCTTCTGTGCCCTGTTCACAGCCGACCTCATCCTGAACATGCTAGCACAGGGCTCATATTTTTTCTACGCGACGGACTGGAAATGGAATTGGTTCGATATGCTCGTAGTAGTATTGGCGATCGCTGAGGCCATCGCCTTTGTCGTGGGGTCGAGGGGTACCATGTTGTCCAATAACTCGGTGCTACGCGTGCTCCGGCTCGTACGAATCTTGCGATTCGTGCGGGCTCTCCGGTCGCTCGTATTTTTCCGCGACTTGCGTATCACGATTTCTGTCTTGAGCGGAGCGTTGGTTCCGTTGATGCCTTTGGCGGTCATATTGTTTATGATATTCATGACTTTCGGAACAATTTTGACTGACGGAGCGAGCCAGCACATGATCAACCATCAGCATAGTTATCATCCAGGGCTGAAGAAATATTACGGCAGCGTGTTCGTGACCGTGGCCACTCTCTTTAAGACGATCACAGGTGGCATAGATTGGGAGGTAGCCGTGGAGCCATTAGAGAAGATGCCTCTCATGTATACCGTGGTGTTCTACGCTTACGTGACATTCTCAGTGTTTGCATTGTTGAACGTCGTCAACGCAATGTTTATCGATTCCACATTTCAAAGGTCCAGGCAAGATCGCGATTACGTAGTACAGACGGAGCAGGATGGCAAGCGATCATTCTTGGCCATGATGGAGAGGCTGTTCGTGGAGCTAGACATTGACAACACTGGCACGATCAACCTCTCAGAGCTGCAAAACCGCATACGCGATCAAAAGGTGAGAGCTTACTTCAAGGCCATCGACCTGGATATTTACAAGGTGAAGAAGCTGTTCCGGCTCATGGACACCGACAAGTCGGGCGGCATCGACCACGTCGAGTTCAGGAGAGGGTGCGATCGCCTGCGCGGCGAGGCGAGCCAGTTGGACCAGGCAATCCTCCACTACCAGATGAAGATGCTGTCGAGGGACGTCGCCACCGTCAAGCACCTGGTGCGGGGGCCGAGCGGCGACGTGCTGCGCGTGGAGCCGCCCTGCGAGACCAGTGGGCTGGAGGGCGCCGCGCTCGTGCAATAGTCGAGCGAGCTCCTGGCGTGGCGCGGCGCGCGCGCGGCACGGGCTGGAGCTGCGCGGCCCCGCGGTCGCGAGCGGGCCAAGCCTCAAAGGGCAACCTCGAGGGGGGCACAGGCTCAGGGGGTGACGCGCCGACCCCCAGTCGCCCAGCCATCGCCGACGTGGTCCCGACGGCCCGCCCCGCGGAGGGGGCGCGCGGACGTGCAGCCATCGGGGGGGCCCGTCGCCGATCTGTCGACGGCTCCATTCCCCCCAGAGCCCGTCGCCCCCTCGCGGAGCCCCTTCGAAGGGGGGGGGGAGCAAGCAGAGGAGGAGGAGGAGGAGGATGAGGAGAGGGGAGGAGGGACGACCGGGATGTTGGTGTTGCTGCTGCTGCTGCTGCTGCTGCTGATGATGATGATGATGCTGATGATGATGATGATGATGGCGATGATGATGCTGATGATGATGGTGATCATGATGATGGTGATCATGATGCTGACTCTGACGATGACGATGATCCTAATGCTGCTGCTGATGATGATGCTGATGATGATGGTGATGATGATGCTGATGATTCGTGATTGGCGATTGGTGGTTAATGATCCATGATGATGCTGTTGCTGCTGCTGTGGATTCTGCTTGTTTGTCAGGATGATGGTGGTGGTGAGGGTGGTGGTGGTGGTGGTGGCGGTTGTGAGATGGGATGAGATGAGATGATGATTCTGATGATGCTGCTGATGATGATACTGATTCTGATGCTGTTGGTGGTGATGAGATGATGATGGGGATGATGATGATGATGGTGATGATGGTGGTGGTGGTGATGAAGACGACGACGAGGATGATGATGATGATGATGATGATGACGACGACGATGCTGCTGCTGATGATACGGCTGATTATGATGATGATCATGATGATGTTGATGCTGATGCTGATGCTGATGCTGATGAAGATGATGACGATGATGATGATGATGATGATGATGATGATGATGATGATGATGATGATGAGGAGGAGGAGGAGGAGGAGGAGGAGGAGGAGGAGGAGGAGGAGGAGGAGGAGGAGGATGAGAAGGAAGAGGAGGAGGACAAGGACGTGGAGGAGGATGATGAGGAGGAGGAGGATGAGGAAATAGGAGGAGGAGAAGGAGGCGGAGGACGAGGAAGAATACGGTATTCACGGAAGGACGGGGAAGGAACGAGGAGGAAGAGGGAGGCGCAGGAGAAGGGGGAGCAAGAGGTTGAGGGATTGAGGGGAAGGAGGTTGAAGAAGTGGAGGAGCAGGGGGAGACCAACGGAGGAGGAAAGGGCGGCTGGTTCTGGGTAGGATGAGGAGGAGAAGGATGAACAGGATCAGGAGGGGATTGGAAGTGGAGAGGGGGATCGGAGGTGGTTGAGGATGTGGATGAGGAGGTGGACTATGATGATGATGCTGATGATGATGCTGATGATGATGATGATGATGATGCTGGTGATGATGACGCTGATGATGCTGATGATGATGATGATCATCATCATGATGATTGTGATGATGACGATGATGGTGATGATGTTGTTGATGATTATGATGATGATACTCATCATGATGATGCTGATGAGGATGATGCTGCTTATGATGATACTGCTTACGATGTTGTTGATGGTGATGGAGATGATGATGCTGATGCTTTTGAGGGTGATCCTGATGATGATGATGTTGATTGTGATGCTGATGATGGTGAACGATGATGGTAATGCCGATGCCGATGACGATGATGATGCTGATGCTGATGCTGATGATGGTGATGGTGATGGTGATGCTGATTATGATGATGAAGACGATTATGCTGATGATATGCTGCTGATGATGATGCTGCCGATGATGACGATGCTGCTGCTGATGATGCGGATGATGATGATGATAATCACGATGATGATGTTGTTGATGATGACGATGATGATGACGAGGAGGAGGAGGAGGAGAAGCAGGAAGATGAGGACGAGGAGGAGGAGGAGGAGGAGGACCAATGTAAAGCCAAGAGTCATCAACGATGTTGGAACACATCCTCCCTCCAAGCTCCCTCTCCAAAGGCCCCTACAACGGTTCACTTCCACAGAGGGAACTGCCTCGTTGGAAGACAATCGTTTGAAGACTCTGAAGCATGCCGAAACATTGTTTTCGGGACTCCCACGATCCTGAATCGTGCCAGAATGCCATTCCTGGGACTTCAACACCGCGAAGCAACGTAGCTGTTGCACCCTGATAATCCTGAGCCCTTCCAAAACACAATTCCTGGTACGCTGATCATGGGAATCCGTGAAACTCTTGCGAGTTTTAAACACCGAATGTGCGCGGCGCACAGGCGAGAGCCACATTTTGAAAACGGGTGTCCTCAATTCGTGAAGCCCTTGTAATCTTTCAAACGACTGTGCGCGACGCTTAGGCGAGATCCACATTTTGAAAACGGGCCGCTCTCAATCAGTGGAAACCGTTTTTTTTGTTTTGTTTTTGGTTTGACGTTTTTTTTTATTGTTCTGTTTTATTTTCAAATTTGTTTTTAATGTTATATACATTAACGGCGCACCGGGTCCGAGCGCCCGGGGCCGGCGCCGCTACCACAAATGTGAGCTCCGGGGCCCTCGGGGAGCCCCGGGGCTTACAGAAGGCCGCCAGAAGGCGCCAAGGAGGCCCCAAGAGGCTCCAGAACAGACCCGGGACGCCCGAAGGTCGCTCCCAGACGCCCAACATGGCCTCCAATCCAAGGCGGCTTCAGAAGCCCCCAAGACACTCTAAGCGACCCTCAATAGGGCCCCAAAGAGAGCCCCAAGGGGCCAAAATAGCATTCCCTTCGTCAAACGTATATTTTTAATATATTGCTTGTTTTCGCTGTCGGTCCGTGCTTGACGACCTCAGAAGCTCCCAAGACCGCCCCAATACAGCCCAGGACGCGCCCCAGAGGGCCCCAATACAGCCCCAGGAAGCTCCAGGACGGCCCACGAAGGGCCCAAGACGGCCCAAGAGAGTCCCCAAGACGGGCCCGAGAGGGCCCCAGAGGAGGAAAGCCACCATCGAATTCCAAGCTTTCGACCCCAAGTGGCTCCAGGAGGCGCCGAGAAGCCCCCAAGAAGCGCCCGGAAGGCTCCCAAAAGCACCCCAAGACGCTCCAAGGGGCACCCCAAGAGAGCTCCAAGAAGCAAGAATCGTCCCATTCCTGTGGGAAAACGTATATTTGTCGTATGTTCGCCTGTTGGGCGGTCATCGCGTCCAAGACGGCCCAAGGGCTTCCCAAGACGGCCTAGGAGGCCCCCAAAAGAGCTCCAAGACGGGCCACGAGAAGCCCAGGACGGCCCAATGGGCCCCCAAGACGGCCCAAGAGAGCCCCAAGACGCGCCCGAGAGGAGTCCCAGAGCAAGAAAGCCACTCTCGAATTCCGAGCTTTCAGCCCCAAGAGATCCCAAGCCGGTCGAGGAGGCCCCCAAGAAGGCCCCAAGACGACCCACGAGGGGGCCAAGACGGCCCATGAGGCGCCCAAACCGCACAAGAACACCCCAAGGCGGCGCCCAAGACGGGGAGGAGGAACCGGGAATTCGCGCCTTTTGGCCCAAGAGAACCCCAGGAGACCCCAAGAGGCTCCAAGAAGGGGTCCAGAAGCCCCAAGAGGCCTCCATGAGACCCGAAAACACATCAAAAGAGGCCTCGAAGACGCCCCAAGAGGCACCCCAATAGAGCCCAAATAAGCAAACATCGTCGATTCCCGATGGAAGAACATGTATTTTTGGCGTGTTCGCCTTTTGGGCTTCCACTGCGTCCAAGACGGCCCAAGAGGCACCCAAGCCAGTCGAGGATGCCCCCAAGAGGGCTCCAAGACGACCCACGAGGGGGTCAAGATGGCCCCCGAGGCGCCCAAACCGCCCAAGAACGCCCCGAATCGGCGCCCAAGACGGGGACGAGGAACCGAAGATTCGAGCGTTTTGGCCCAAGAAGCCCCAACAGGCCCCCAAGAGAACCGCAAAAACATTCAAAGAGGCCCCGAAACAGCCCCGCAATGGGCCCCTCAAAACGGCCCAAGAGAGCCCCAGGGCGCGCCCAAGAGGGTCGACCAGAGAGCTGGTCCGACTTCCCACACTCTACACATGGTCCGTCCCCGGCGGTGCATCAAGCAGGTGTTGCCACTGGAGTCCGACTTGCCTGAGGAACTCCGAACATTTTTTCGCACAGCTTCTCCTGTGTCTGTGACACGCTAGAACCTAAGCGCACGCGAAGCGCGCGTGGCTCTTATATATATATATATATGAATGTATGTCTGTCTGTATGTATGTATGTATAGGTACAGGTATAGTTATATGTATATGTATAGGTAAGGGTATATGTATATGTACATGGGCATGTATATGTATATGCACATGTATATGTATATGTATATGTATATGCATATGTATACGTATACGTATATGTATATGCATATATATGTATATATGTATATGTTTATGTATATGTATATGCATATGTCGATGTGTATGTATATGTATATATATATGTATTTGTGTATGTATATGTATATGTATAGTTATATGCATGTGTGTATGTCTATGTATATGTATATGTATATGTATATGTATATGTATATGCATACACATATGTATATGTATAGGTATATGTATATGTACATGAATATGTATATGTATATGTATATTTATATGTATATGTATATGTATATGTCTATTTATATGTATGTATACATATATATACATATCTATATGTATATATATACACATACACACACATATATATATATATGTATATGTACATGTATATGTATATGTATTTGTATGTATATATATATATATATGAATAAATACCGCCCCCCGGTTCCACACCTCCCCGCCACATCTCGGGGACGCTCCCGGTACCGCTCCCCCAGCCTTTTCCGGGGAGCCTCCACAGCGCTCCAGGAATGCCCAAGACGCCCCCCAGGAGCCCCCAGAATGCTAAAGGATGGCCCAAGACGTTCCCAAGCAGCCCAAGTCAGCCTTCTGACG